AAAAAAAAAAAAAAAAAAAAAAAAAAAAAAACAACTAAAGAAGATTCTTCTACAAGTTTTATATATTATCTCTTATATTTGGATCCATGATTGACGCTCAGTTAAGTTTTGTACATTATATCAGGTGAATGTTGACCTTTCTCTCTTTTTCTTTATCTTTCCTTTTTCTTCCTTCCTTCCTTCTTTACTTCCTTCCTTCCTTCCTTCCTTCCTGCCTTCCTTTTTTTTCTTTTTGTCATTGTCTAATCAGTTATTTAAATATCATTTTCCTCATTGAACTCCTTTGGTATCTTTGTGAAAAGTTTATTGACAATATATGCGTCAGTCTATTTTTGGACCCTATTCTAGTTCATATTATATCTGACTTTTCACCAGTGCCATGTTATTTTGATTCTCTAACTTTTTAAGTCTTAAAATAAGATAGTTGAAGTTCTCCAGCTCTGTTTTTCAAAGTCATGTTTACTATTTTAAGTTCTTTACCTTGGTATACACATATTATATTCTAAATTCTTTGCCTTGCTATAAACATTTTAGAATTAGCTTATCACTATAAAAATAGCCTGCTGGGATTTTGACTAGACTCTTAGAAACCCAGGCGATCTGTCAACAATTTGAAGTTTTCTGATTGGTCAACATAGTTTATCTTCCATTTTTAAGGCCTTTTCAAATTTACAATGTCAATTTCTTTCGATCATTTTCATTGTACAGACATTATATGTCTTTTATCAAAATTATCTCCATGTATTTTTAAAAATGTTTATTAGTGCACAGTAATGGAATCGATCTTGTGTCCTGCACTTTTATACCAGCATTTTGATCCAGTCTGTTGGTTCTGGGTTCTCCATTAGTCTCTAGTTTTTGTTTTGTTGAATTATTCTACAAACCACATTTGTTCCTCTTTTCACTTGCCTTGGCCCAGGCCTTTATTTTGGTTCCTTGCATGGTTCTTGGCCACATTTTTTCACATCTCCACCATGAAGGTTTTGTTCATCCCGAATTTATTACTCGGGACTTGCTCTGACCACTGACTTATAAACGCTCAGTGCTGACTCCCACCCCGGTACATCAGAGATTACCATGCCCCTCTGAGGGGCCCACTTCCGCTGCCACTGGTAGATTGGTTTACTGCAAACTCTGCACTCACCTTGAATGCTTACCATCCCTTCAGCCTGCCAGTTTCTAATCTGGTTTCTAGATATTCCAGCCAGCGTATGTAGCTGGTAAAGCTTTGGATTTTAACAGTCCAAAAGAAACATTAGAAGCAGGAATTTCACCACACTCTGTCTGACAATGACTGTGGGAGAACTTCTCAGGGTCATGTGAGTTACAGAAGCAACAAATCAAAGATCATTCAATGCAAAAAATATCTAGTTAGAGATTAAAGTGAGAAGAGGGGAGCCCCATTCACAATAGTTATAAAAACTATAAAATACCTATGAATAAATTTAGCTAGCATTGCATTTATCTGAATAAAACTATAAAATTTTATTGGAGAGCATAAAACATGATCTGAATTAACAGAGAGACAGCATGTTCCTGAGTGGGATGACTTTATGTCATAAAATACCCACTCTTTCCAGATTATTAAAGCTACTTCCCAAAATTTCTATCAGAATTCTGTGCTTCATGTTTTCAATTTTTTTCATTTTCGTTCTATTTTTAGTAGAATAGAATAAATAAGGTCCTGAAAAAGGAAATTTGGAATAATTTCCATAAAGCTTTTGAAAATAAGGAATAATATGGAGGGAAATGTCCTACCACCTACAGAAAAACATATTCTAAACATTCTGTACTCAAAACAGTATTGGCAGGAAATAGATATTAGGGATCATAGTGGAAAGCAATAGAGTATGTAGAAATATGTCCTTGTCTGTACACAAACTTAGTATGACACAAGTAACATTTCAGTCCAAATGAGGAATTAAGTTTAATGTAGTAAAAGGTTCTAGAATAATGGGCTGCCCTTCTGAGAAAGTAAAAAAGAAATCCCTCATGTAAACAATATAAAGAAATAGACATAGAAGATTTAAAAATTAAAAGTGCATAAAATATCCGTGCACACTTTGGGGAAATATTTAACCGATCTCAGTTTGAAGGCAAACTTCTTCATTATCAAGGAGTATCCAGAAACCACTGATATGAATATTGAAAAAAATACATGAAGGAAATGTATATAATTGTAAAATACAAAAAATAATAAATAGGAAGATAGAAGCTTGAGATATTGAAAATACAAAGTTAATGTTTATGTCTCAGTAATGCAGAAATGCTAAGAAAAAAACCAAGCACCTCAGAAATTTTTTAAAGTCATAAAGAAATTGTTATCAACAGAGTATTTGTAAAGATAGTGGCAAGAGCTTTATAATGCTCAGATTTCCATAGCTTAACATGATAACAAGTTTCTACCACATTTCCATGACAACTAAAATAGGTTTTCTTGTGCACTAGGTGACCATTAATGTCGCTGTTCACAGACTCATGGTCCATTAGTGTTGTGGTTTTGTCCTGCTCCAGGACCTCCACGTCCTCTGCATTAGGTTGGCACTTAAAGAACAAGAATGAAGGATCCCTAATGACATTCACTATTGGAAATTT